TTCAAGAACTTCATTGAACTACAGAGCAGGTTTAACAGGAATTAGAGAGATTGAAAAAGATTGTTCTTAACTAAGCAAGTGATTTCTTAGTTCAAAATCTTGCAGTGGTGATTGAAATTTCCTTCATATTCATTCTTTCAACCTTAATATGTGCCTGTGTACACATATTGGGATATAGGATAATAAAATAGATAAAAATCTCCACCCTCAAGGAGTTTATATTTTAATGCAGGGAACAATTTTAAAAATTAAATTTGATGGAAAAAAATTAAAGCAGAGAAAGGGGATAGGGAATGCTGAAACTGTTTTAATAGGGTATTCACTGAAGACCTTACTGAGAAGGTTCTATGTGGGAAAAGATCTAAAAGACAGTGGAGTTAGGAGATATTTCAGGCAGAGGGAACAGCAAGTATAAAGCCCCTGAGTTGAAAGAATATTTGGTGAGCTTGAACACAAAGACGTAAGTGTGGCTGGATAATAAAAGCAAGATGTCATGATGGAGTGGGATCAGTATCCTTGCTCATAATTTTTATTTGCTCTATGGCAACACTTTTTGGTGAGTTTTCTTTCACTGCCATTTGTTCCTCCCTTGCTCTTTGCTGATTATTACTTATATTTGAATGTCTTGAGTTCTTTCTGGCCTAGCTATTTGTAGGAGGTTAATATGAATGGGGGGAGGGGGCATTCTGTGTCCTAGACTGGTAGGAAGTATCCCTATTTAATTATGACTCAGGATTATATCTGAGTTGTTTTAGGTTTTATTTGTGCTTACACAACAAAGATGGGAAGCTGTAGGGTTCCTTATAATGTGGAATTTTGTGCCCATAATTTTCTTCTGAAAACACAGTAGGTCTATTGTGTTTCCTTATTTAGCTTGCCTTCTTTCCTTGGTGTAAAACTTGTTCATGCAAGTTCAGACCACAGCCATGCACCCTGTTTTTGTTTTTGCACATGAAAGATGTTGATTTTCCCCTCCGGGCTTGCTTTGTATTTTGAAGAATTGTGTTCTGGCAGGTCTGTTTAAGATCTGTAGTACTATCTCTCAGCATCTTCCTATCTAACTTCTATTGCAATTGGCAGCAATTTCTCATATATTTTGCTTTATGGTTACAAATCTCTTGTGGTTTCATTAAAGGTAGTTTTGAAGTGATTTTCAGAGAAGAAAAGAACAATGCCATTTTTATTCCACTGTTTTAGAATAGGGAATAATATTGTTGTTTAGAGGCCTTCATAATAGTTAGCATTTTTTACCTCTAGGTATTTTAATGAAGGGACTGTCCTTGCGCACTATGCAGATGTCCTGGGTCTTTTGCTTAGATTGCGGCAGATTTGTTGTCATACTCACCTTCTTACAAACGCAGTGTCTTCCAATGGTCCCTCAGGTAAGTAGATGTGATTTGTTTACACTGTTATATTTGTTAGGGATATTTAAATCAGAAGGAAATTTTTCATATGGCCTATAGTGTCTTATTTGTCAAATGGACATTGTTTTTAGAATGGGAAACAAGTGGAATATACTCACAAATTCTTACCAATGAAATGGAATAATAGTGATGTCTTCTAGGACTTCCAGTGATAGATACTCTTAGTCATTTCAAATTGGATCTGCCTTTTATTCTGTGGTAGTATGTGCAGATTGTAATGATACTTTTGTGTAAGGTATATTATGTGGGTTAGCTACTATTTTAGTTTCTGAATTTTCTTTAATTAATAAATTTTTAAGATTTTATTTATTTATTTGACAGAGACAGACACAGCAAGAGAGGGAACACAAGCAGGGGGAGTGAGGGAGGGAGAAGCAGGCTTCCCGCTGAGCAGGGATCCCGATGTGGGGCTCGATCCCAGCACCCTGGGATCATGACCTGAGCCGAAGGCAGACGCCCAGTGACTGAGCCACCCAGGCCCCCCTGAATTTTCTTTAAATTTTAAATCATGCTTGTTTTCTGTGATAGAAAAAGCATAAATAAAGACTACCCAAGCAAAACTTTTCCCTATATAAGAATATTAACTTGTCTAGTCATATTACAAATCTTGCTGTGAAATTAATTTTTCAGCCTTTTCTCTAGGAAATGATACACCTGAAGAACTACGAAAGAAGTTAATAAGGAAGATGAAGTTAATTCTGAGCTCTGGTTCTGATGAAGAATGTGCAATTTGCTTGGATTCTTTAACAGTTCCTGTCATAACACATTGTGCACATGTCTTTTGTAAACCCTGTATTTGCCAAGTCATTCAGAATGAGCAGGTTAGTTTTATGCTAGGTACAGATTCAGTGTTTGATGGAGTGGTACACTAGTCAGTCTTGAGTGTAATGAAACCCAAGTCCAACAGACTATAAAGAGTTTTGCACCTTGGATTTACTAGTGCACGTTTTATGGTCAGTTATGTATGTCAGTGTTTCATAGTGGTATATTTCTTATAATTAGGCCCTTTTAAACATAAGACAGTACACTTTTAGAGGCATGATCAGTCAATATCCTAGTTCTGTTGTTGAGATCATTGCTGTCTAATAGATAAAAAATGTGAGACACAAAGGTAATTTTAAATTTTCTAGTAGAAATAGATGAAGTCAATGAATTTTTATTTATTCAGTATATCTAAAATATAAAAATAATTGAGAATTTACATGATTTTTTAACTTAAGTGTTCAAAGTCTGGTGGTATTGTACACATACAGCACATCTCAGTTTGGCTTCACCACACTTCATGGGCTTAATTGCCACGTTTGATTATTGGCTATTAGATAAGGTAAGCCTGGATTCTATGTATGGTAGAATTTTTTGAAGTGGAATAATCCTTTAAGCAGTTCTTCAGCTGAGGTAGAGTTTTGTTTTGTTTTTTTTTTACATTTTCATTGGTATAATATAGAAAAAAATGCACAAGTCATGATTGTACAGTTGAGTGAATTATGAAGTAAACACAATCATGTAACTACTACCCTGGTCTCTTTGTGTCCCCTTCCAATCAGTTACCTTCTCCCTTCTCCCTAAAGGTAACCCCACTATACTGACTTTTAACGTTGTTTCAGTTTCAGAATTTTTTTTTTGTAATGGTATTTGGTATATAATTATTTAGGAGATATTTTATTAGCATGTCTTGGTACAAATGGACACAACAAATATTGCTTTGAATGAGCCTGTTGGATTTAACAGGTCTAGACTAGCTTTATAAGCCATTCAGATGGAAATTTTTTTTCTTCTAAAGGACAGTTCCACCTAGTGTGCTATATTGTAGTTAGGTTCAAGATACTGTTATTCATGGTTTCTTTACTTATCTGCAAATAGTACAGTTCACCCTGAACAGTTGCAGGGGCTAGGGGTGCTGATGACCCCCTGTGCAGTTGAAAATCTCCATATCACTTTTGACTACTTATAAACTAAACTACTAATCACCTACTGTTGACCGGAAGCCTTACTGATAACATAAACAACACATATTTTTGTTATATATATGGTATTCTTTTTAAAGTTTTTATTTAAGTAATCTCTACACCCAACGTGGGGCTCACACTCATGACTCCAAGATCGAGAATTGCATGCTCCTCCAACTAAGCCAGCCCAGCACCCCTATATGTGGTATTCTTACAGTAAAGTAAGCTAGAGAAAATACCAAAATCATAAGAGAATATCCATTTATAGTACTGTACTGTATTAATTGAAAAAAAAAATCCTCAAATAAGTGGACCTCTGTAGTTCAGACCCATGTTCAAGGGCAAATTGTATTATAATACTTGCCTCAAACTCCTGCTGTTAGTCAAGATCACATACCATACTTCCTTTTTTACCCAGTCCCATTTAACACATAAGAACGTTACATCTGCCTGGAGTTCAGCTTGTACAGATTTATCTCAAATGGATGAATCTAATAAGTCTAATAAAATGCTAGCTATTAAGGATATAGAATTTTACCATACTTTTTAAAAATTTTAGGTAAATTTATATTTTTTCTCATAAACTTCACTCATATCTTATTCTTTCTTATATAGCCACATGCTAAATGTCCTTTATGCAGAAATGATATACATGGAGACAATTTATTAGAATGTCCTCCAGAAGAATTGGCGTGTGATACTGAGAAAAAGTCTACTGTGGAATGGACATCCAGTTCAAAGGTAAAATACACATGGGCAAATATTTGAGTATTTGTTTTACATTTATATATGGATACCATGTCTCAAAATAATTCTGCTTTTAATCCTATCATTTGAATATTTTTATTTCTAGTGGTGAATTTGAGAGGAAAGGAACTTCAGTTTGAGTGCTTCTTTCAATCTTAATTTTTAAAAACATTAGTTGTCTTTTACTTTTCATTTTAGGGAAGTAATGGGGCAGGAACATTCTTTTCCTAATAAAAAAAAGTTGTATATATTTTGCCCATTCAAAATAGAAGCTAATGGGTGTCCTGATTTTTTTTTTTCAGATTAATGCTCTAATGCATGCACTGATTGACTTAAGAAAGAAGAACCCCAACATAAAAAGTTTAGTTGTTTCTCAGTTTACAACATTCCTGTCTTTAATAGAAACACCACTCAGGTAAATTCATTATTGATTCTCACTTTGAGTAAAAGGATTTTATGTAAGTGTTTTGATTTGGATGGCAAAAAATAATTGTTTTACCAGTTATATTCATTTCATCTATCTAAAATGAGAGTCACAGTACAGAATATTTCCTGGGAGCATAGGATTTAAAGATTTAGTCCTGAATTTATCAGAAAAAGACTTGACTGCAGAGCATGACATGTTAGTAGATGGTTAGATTTGTCAAAATAGATGAGTAGTTGGTTGAATGAAGAGATTTATAATTACTTAACATGTTTTTAAATTGTATAGAATGTGTTACTTGTCTTTTTTGTCCCTCCATTAGAGCCTCTGGATTTGTATTTACTCGTTTGGATGGTTCCATGGCACAGAAGAAAAGAGTTGAATCAATTCAGTGTTTTCAAAACACTGAAGCAGGATCTCCAACTATAATGCTTCTATCCTTAAAAGCAGGTGGAGTTGGTTTGAATCTTTCTGCAGCTTCTCGAGTGTTTTTAATGGATCCAGTAAGTAGTTCTGTAGACTTTTTGGTATGTTATTAGACTTTATGAAAAAATAAAAAAAAAACTATTTGGTAAATACCTTCCTAGTTATAAGTGATTGTGAAAATTCTTAGGAAAACTTTAAAATTAGATAATAACTCAGTAAATGTGTATCGAGGGCTTTCTTTTAAGTGCTTTACATGTATCAACAAATTCTCACGGTATCCCTAGGGTATCCCTATGATGAATCCTTACAAGGTTTTATTACTGTCCTTATTTTACAGGTGAGGAAACTGAAGCACAGAGAAGTAAAATAACTTGCCCAACATCATGCAATAATATGCAAACCAGGATTCCATGTTCTTAATTTCTGTGTTGTGGTTTTCTACTTCTATATATAGAATTAGTTTCTGTTAACTGTAATGCTTTAGTGTAGTGGTTTGGCCAACAAATAATGTGATCCTACATTGTGTCAGGGAGTCTTACAGGCACCCGGAATCTGGCTATAAACATAGGTAAACAAAGTAGCTACCATCATGATGTTAATGGCCTCAAGTTTTAATGTGCAAAAATTAGGTAAAATGTAATTTCTCACCTCTGTCCTCAGAGATTAAGGAGTTCTTGGATGAGACCCAGGAAGCTGCATTTTTGTATAGATCATAGGTGATTCAGGTGCAGGTGGTCCAGCATCACAGTTTTAGAAACTAATACTGTTAATGGAATATTTTGGATAAATTTTAGCATCTAATACAGTACAGTCATTTGTAGTTGTACAGTATAGACCTAGCTGTAGAGTTGGAGCTAAAATTCACTGAACTTTACTCACCAAACTGTGACCTAAGAGAAGCATGCATAGAGGAACAGCACCTTTTTCTAATTGCACAAAGAGCTGTAGGCACTCTGGACTAATTCAGTTTCTAATTTGCACTGGGTTACTGTCAGGGCTAGAGGCAACTCTATTTGCTATTTCTGTGATTCACAGATTGAAGATTTGTAGTTTTTTTTTTTAAGATTTTATTTATTTATTTGACAGAGAGAGAGACAGCGAGAGAGGGAACACAAGCAGGGAGAGTGGGAGAGGGAGAAGCAGGCTTCCCGCGGAGCAGAGAGCCCGATGTGGGACTCGATCCCAGGACTCTGGGATCACGACCTGAGCCAAAGGCAGATGCTTAACGACTGAGCCACCCGGGCGCCCCAAAGTTTTGTAGTTTTAGCTTGTTACCTGAAATTCAGAAAATTTCATAACAAAGTTCACTGAGATACAAATTTGAGTTATTCTGGTTAGGCCTATCTAGTTCATACATACACCTGTAACCAAGGCTTTTTCGTTACCTGAAGGTAACCTCCCCAGTAAAATACCAACCAGAACCATATTTTGACATTCACAGATTTCACATTAATGTTATGGATGGCAGTGGTCTGTTGTATTTTCTTGCCTTAGTTCTGTGGATGAAGTTTTAAATCTTTGCTAGAGTTTTAATATTTTATGGTTATTATAAAAAATAGTCATTGTAACTGCATATTGTTATATTAACTAACATAATCTTAGAAGATGATTTTTTGACAAATTTCCAAATTATTTGCTTCTTTTGTTATACTCTTAGTATCTGATAAGAAGGTTGTTGATACGAAATAATAGTATTATAAAGCTGATCACAGACTATACTCTTTAGTAATGTAAAAAAAACTTCTTTAGTAATTAAAAAAAAAACTTCCAAAATGTTTTAGCAGTTCATAGTATATTGTTTTTCATTGAACATTTACCAAATGTTTCTAACTTTAAAATGAAAGCCAGGTCCCAGGAAAATAAGATTGAATCAAAAAATTTTACTCATGAAAATATTTTACCTTTTCATGGAATGTTGCATTAGAGTTAAGATGTATTTTAAATGTTCGATTTTGGGCTTTTGATAAAGCTTATTACCTTCCTTCATCAGTACTAGTGAAAATGGAAGCTATCAGTTTTATATTACCATGAGATAAATTTGATCCCTGGTAGGGGTGCCTAGGTGGCTCAGTTGGTTAAGCATCGTACTCGATCTCAGCTCAGGTCTTGATCTCAGGGTTGTGAGTTCAAGCCCCATGTTGGGTTCCACACTGGCCATGGAGCCTACTTTAAAAAAAAAAAATTGACTCTTGGTAGTCATACTAGATGTATATTGCCAGCTCACTAGAGAAGTTTCCTAAATAAAACAGACAACAGAAAGGAACATTTATTTACCTGGGCTTTTGGTATAACGGTTTCAAAATGTATCCAATCGTGAAATACAGAATATACATAAAATGTGATTATCAGTTTTAGAAAATCATAAGCTAAGTATATTCTTAAAATCTGACTTCTATATGAAAAATCACCCAATACTCAAATTACAACAGCAGTAAAATTTCCTTTTCCCTAGAGCTCATGAGAACTTTATTTTTTAATTTATTTTTAATTATTTTTTTTTTTTGAAAGAGTATGAGCCAGGGGTTGGGGGAGGCTCTATGCCCAACACAGAGCCGGATGTGGGGCCCAATTTCGTGACCCTGAGATCATGACCCAAGTCAAAATCAAGAGTCAGACGCCTAACCAACTGAGCCACCCAGGTGCCCCATCAAGGGAACTTTAAATAGAAAATAACAGCCTGAGTATGAATCATACTATAAACTTGTCATTTACATATGCATTTGCGACTTTATTTCATTTTCAGGGAGTTTTGCTGTATAGTTTCTTTTGCCCTAAACACCCTTTAAGAATCATCCCATAGTTTAAAATTTAATGATCTCTACTCTGATAGTTCTGGATAGTATTTCCAAACCACTTGACGCCTATCTTTCTAGACTGAAGAACTCTATATCATTTTGCTTATTTTTTCTTTGCTTCATTGTTTTATTCTTCACTTTAAGACAGTCCCCATGATAATGCCTGTATTTAATGAGTTAATGTTATTTTAGTTCAATTTTGAAGTCAAATACAGATACAGAAAATTGCATCAACAAAGCCTTTAATTTTTAGGACTTTTGATTATTCCTGAAATCTTTTTTTGTGCTTTTATTTAACAAATGGAAGAAAGTGAAAGAAAAAGAATCAAAAGACCAAAAGGGGAGAAAACTTTTTCATAAATAGACTCAATTACATTCTTTTCTGATGTAAATTGTCGTTTAAGAGGATGCATAACCTTTTTTTTCCTTTGTTAATAGACATAGATCAATTTTAAAATAGAAAGATACTATTTGATTACTTAATTGCTTATGCTGTGTGCTTTCTATGTATCAGGCACTGTATTAGATACTAGAAGCAGTGCAGTGAACTGATGGGGGAGAATACCTGCCTGTCATAGTTGAGGGTGGGGTGTATTTTTTTTTCCAGAGCATTTATGTCAGTATCTGAATTCAGTCAAAAAATTTGTGTCAGTAAAAGGTGAATGAGTAATACTGAAATAAAGGATTTGTGCAGAACACTCACAGATCAGGGTGGTAATAAAGCAATTCATATTCTTGTTAGGCCTGGAATCCAGCTGCTGAAGATCAGTGCTTTGACAGATGCCATAGACTTGGCCAGAAGCAAGAAGTTATCATCACAAAAGTGAGTTTTTAAGCCATCCATTTTAAAATTAGGTTGACGAGATTTTTAAGATTATACAAATAATGCATGAATATATTATGAAAGATTACAGTAGAATTGGGCAGAACAAAATACGAAGGTTAGCTTTAATCTCCTCTAGAGGAAACCACCATCAGTAGTTTTACATGTTATTCAAAGTCTCTTTCTTGATGTTTATATAGATTCACTTGTATTTATCTCTCCTTTAAAAAATTTAAGGTAAATGGGATCATACTTTATTATTCTGCAACATACTTTGTCCCCTTAACAGTATATATTGGGAACTATCCATATAAGTACACTACCATGTAAGTACATATAAAATCTATTCTTTTTTTTCCCATATAGTGGTAAAACATAACAGATACATAACAATATTTATCATTTTATCTATTTTTAAGTGTACACTTAAGTGGCATTACATACTTTCACATTGTTGTGTAATTTTCAACATCATCTATCTCCAGAACTTTTTCATCTCAAATTGAAACTCAGCCCTCAGCAACCACCCTTCTATTTTCTGTGAATTTGATGACTCTACAAACCCATTCTTTTTTTTTTTTTTTTAAAGATTTTATTTATTTATTTGAGAGAAAGAATGAGAGAGAGAGCACATGAAAGGGGGGAGGGTCAGAGGGAGAAGCAGAACTCCCTGCCGAGCAGGGAGCCTGATGCGGGACTCGATCCCAGGAATCCAGGATCATGACCTGAGCCGAAGGCAGTCGCTTAACCAACTGAGCCACCCAGGCGCCCCAAACCCATTCTTTTTAACATCCATATATAGGTACATCATAATTTAGCCAGTCTAATATTTTGCTAATAAAAACTGCCATAATGAGCATTATATTATATACAAGTACTTCTTCAGGATTAAGAAAATGAGAATTCTGGGGGTGCCTGGGTAGCTCAGTTGGTTAAGTGTCTGCCTTCGGCTCAGGTCATAATCTCAGGGTCCTGGGATCGAGCCCCATGTTGGGCTCCCTGCTCAGTGGGTTGTCTGCTTCTCCCTCTCCCTCTGCCTGCCCACTGCCCCCCCCCCCCCCCCCCCCGCAGGCTGTCTTTCTCTCAAAATGTTAAAAAAAAAAAAAATAGAATTCTGGATTTAGGATTCTTTTGTTTTCAAAACAGGCTTAATGATACATGAGAATGATGTAAATTTTTGCTTATGTGATGGTCAGAAAAGTGCTCTTTTAATTTACGTATACCTAAGACCTTGAGCATATTCATTTTTCACTTATCTGTTGTCAGTTAATATTTTTTTCTGTGCATTGCTTTTTTGCCCAGTTTTCATAAAGTACAAATATAGTTTTATATAAAGGACTCTTCTATACATTTTGATTTTAAATTTTTTGTTTGTATTTTGGAAATGGTTTATTTCAAACTCTTTGAATTGGGTGTGTTTTTTTCTGTTTTCATGAAAAAGCTTTAAAGTTTTTAAGTATATCATTTTTTTCTACTGATTTGAAATGTCACTTTTATTATAAACTAATTCATATATATTAATGTGAGTCTCTTTCCAGACTTTGTTTCTGTGTTTCTATTTCATTGATTTCTTTTCCTATTCCCAGGACAATATTACTCTTAAATTACTATGGTTTTAAAGTATGCTTTGATATCTAGCAGGGCAGAGTGCTCTCATTACCCCTCTTTTTAAAATTCATTAATACAATTATTTACTCTTGAATTGAACTTTGGATTTAGGTTACCAGATCCCATTTAAGAAATCTTGTTTGGGATTTATTGAAGTTATGATTAATTTGAGAATGGTCTTCTTTATAAATATATAAACACTCCTTATAAATAAGGAGTGTTCCCATATAAGAATTTAGTATCTCCATTTATTTAGGTCTTTTATGTATTTCAGTAATGTTGTATAGTTATTACAGTAACTGGACCTCTACACAATGTTGACTATTAGTAGTGATAGTAATCATTCTTGAACTGTTCCTTTTATTGTTTTACATTGTGACTACATTGTTCTTGGTAAGTTTCTAGTGGATACATTTAAGACTGAGAGACATTTATTTATAGGTTAATGAAGATTTTTTTTACTTAAGGTTTTTATCAGAAATGCTTCTTAAGCATCTGTTGATGTTTTTAACTTTTTTCTTAACTTTTCTTAACTTTTGCACATTATAAGTTAAACCAGATAAAGGCTCATTCTTGCATTTCTGGGAAAATCTCATTTGGCTATTTAAATATAATGCTGAATTTATTTTGCAAGTATTCCAGTTACAGAGTTGCCTATAAAGTTTGCTGGTTTTGGTGCTGTTCTTAAGATGTAACTTAACGGCCTTACAACCATATTCTTTATACAAGAAAACCATATTGAGTGATGAGGGAAAGCAATGCTCAACTCTGGTTATTCTATCATATTCTAAATATGCTCACTGAATATTGAGAAAAAAAGGAGAGCTAAACAGTTTCTAATAGATTGACCAATTCTGAAAGCTATACAATACTGTAAGAAAGCAAATTTCCTTATAGTGGACCGATATTTCAACATAAATCTGCATTTTTTTTAATTGAAGATTTTAAATATTGTGACAAAGTACTTTTTTTTTCTTTTTAAAGTTCATTGTGAAGGATTCTGTTGAAGAAAATATGCTGAAAATACAAAACACAAAGAGAGAACTTGCTGCTGGAGCCTTTGGAACTAAAAAAACAAATGCTAATGAAATGAAACAAGCTAAGATTAATGAAATCAGAACTTTAATTGATTTATAATTTGTGGGATTTGGTAAGGTCAGTTTGATTAGATATATATGGAAATTTTGGAAATCAGAAAAGAGTTTTAGAAACGAGATATAGAGTATGTCTTCTAAAAAGAGCATATCATTTTATATTAGTAAAGTATTACTGATATATAGTCTCTTCTATATATGATCCTATTTTTAATGATATTTCAAATAGCAATAAGTTCTGTTATATACTGTGGCCTAAAATAATTTTTTCAGAAAGTTACTTTGTTATTCAGCTTTTCATATTGTCTTTGCTGAGTATTTTCATATATCTTTCAAGTACTCAGCTTTTTCATATTTCAAATAAGGTCAAACCTTTTATACTTTTGACCAAATAAAGAGTTATTTTCTGTGTTGGACATATTTGGTTAATCACTAGAGCCTTCCATTTGTGATGTGATGGATTCATAGTCCTTGTAAGCAATTAATACATAGATTATATACAAGAAATTTTATTACTTTGAAAAACCATATTTGCATTCCAGAATCAAACCTTAAATGAGAGACTGAAGTCCAGGTTAGCAGATTAACTTATAATTTTTTTTTTAACAGTTTGAGATCTAATTCACATATGTGATTTGCAGTTTTATGTTTATGAAAATATAGGGACTGTGTTAGAATACTATTTTTCTCCATTTTAGTCAAGTAGTACTATTGTTTAAATGTAATTCGATGTGTTAGTGTGTAAATACAGTTTGGGGGTGAGAAGGAACCAATTCTACCCAGTTTAATTTGAATATTTAAATTATGGAATTGCTGAATAGATATTTCTATATAGAGAGATAATTTTTATTTATGATAGCTTTTTTTTAAAAAAATAACTTTATAAATTTTTATAATTCAGAAGACTACTATATGTGAGAGGCGTGATATCTGGATGGAAGTTGGGCTGGATGACCTCCAAAATCGTTTCAACTCTTAAAGACATCTTAATCCTGAATGGAAAAATTTCTTTGTTATTGTGTTTAGAATCAGACATTGATTTTGGAACTTCAGTAATTCACCCTACATTTATCTATAAAATTAGTCCTCTTTTTCTTACTTTTTGGTTAATAATCAGACTCACAGTAGTTGCCATGGCATTCTGGATGACTCTTTGAGTCACATTGAAATAAGCTCTACATTTGCCAATCACGTTAGAAGCTCTACACTTGCCAATCACGTTAGTGAGTGGTGTCCTTCCTTAAGGGGAACTTTTTAATCCAAAGAAAGATTACTGTACAGGAGAAGCTTCCTGTTTGACCATGCAGACTTGAGAACACCTTTCATTTTACTTAAAGTGTTAAGAAATGACTTAAAGATAAGCTTGGAGGCAGTGTGTTGTGTTCTAGGGCATACATCGAGCTATGTGCTGAATCTATCAACAGCTAAATTCTCCCCTCCCTTTGCTCGGTCTCCTGCTCCAAGGGAACAGTGTATTAGGCAGCAAGAATCTTCCCAGCCCCTCTTCTCTTTGGCTGCAGGTAAGGCAGAGGGCTGGGTCAAAGGATCAACAGACCTTTCTGTACAGATAGGAGTGGAATAATAACTTGGGGTTGGTCCACTAGCATTAGGAGCAATTGGGAATTTCTTTACCTTGTAGAACTAGCATTACACAAAAAAAATCAGGTTGATGAAAATCTCATGAAATATACTATGTGGATTTCTATATACCAGTACTCCCGTGAGATTAAGTACAAAAAGAATTTTCAGCAAAAAAAGATACACTATTCTTGCTTACAAAGGCAAAGCCTTGCAAACTCACTGTAAAAGACTTTGCTTGCCTCTTTACCCATTTATAGACTTGTTTTTAAACATTCATAATGATAAATTTGGCAAGTCATTTAAAAAATACCTGTTTTTGTACAGTCCTATTAAAATTGGTGTTAAATAAACAAATTTAATTCATCCTAAGGAAATATATATATAAACCACCAGAATGAAAAGTTCATATTATGCTCTGCTGTTAATTCTGTTTCATCATTATATAGAATAATAGCTTTAGAAGTATCTTGAAGACATTGTATCCCACTTGTGGTTCAAACTGAATTTTGTGGTTCAAACTGGATTTTGTTTTAAAATCTTAAAATCAATAAAAGTTTTAAAAATCCACTTCTGTGCCATAATTTTTGTGACTTTTTCTTTGAAAATTTTTTATAAATCTCACACTTCTGTGAAGATACCTATGTTACACAATTGTTTTTCACTGACAGTACATAAAAAGTACTATGAGTAACAGGTTTATTCTTACCACCTCTTTTATTTTGCTCAATTTGGCTGAGGCTGAATTTGTTTAGAAATCAGAGTGTATATATTTTTAAAGGTGACTTGATCTTCTAAAACATTGGTTCCAATTATTTTCCACATCTACCAGGAAAAAAGGAGATGTGATAATACTTATGTGTAGTGATATTTATTACTAGATAGCACTGTGCATTGTAGATTTGCCCTAATCTGGATTAAAATAGTAAATCAAGAAAATATCTTGTGTTTATTACTAGTGAGTACCAATGAAATTATCATCTTCAGGCAGTGTATGTTTTCTATTGGGGGAAGTCAAAGGCATTGGTGTATTTTTTTCATTATAGTACTTGCCAAAATTCTGTTCATTAGGGTTTGGAAGATTCATTAAACACATGTGGACAGGTATTTTCGGCTTAATAACTCAGATGTTTAACCTTAAGTTTTTAGCTATTTTAACTTTAAAATACTTATAAAAGGTGTAATACTGTTTTCCCTCATTCATCAGTAAGTATGTAGTAACCAAGTTTTTACATTCTGGAATTGGATACCTTATTTGTGTGTTCCTCCTGAATAAGAAGAGCCAGAAACTGGTAGCTGTGAATAATGACTGGGATGCTTCCCTGCAGTAATGCCTACTTCAAAGGGAAAACTCTGTTGGTTAGAAACCTTGTAAGCAGATAATGTTTTCTTTCCCTGTTAATATACTCGTAGTTCTGGTATGTAATAAGGGAGAGTAGTCTTCTATATGAACCCATAATAATTTACTCCATTTGAAAGAGCAAATGAGTTACCAATTTTTGATTAAAATGTGGGATGTTTAAATCTTCCAATTCCCTATTCAAACTTCCTGATCAAGAGTTTTCTGACAAATTTAGACCCATTTCTACTTTTTATGAAAACTGATTTCTATATGAAAGGAACAAAATTTTAATAATGTTTATAATTTAATGTATATGGCACAGGCCACCTCCATTAACCTCAGCCAGATGTCCAAAATTTTTTAAATAACTAAGGCTGCGGAACTTTATTTAGAAGGCTACCAAATGTCAAAATGATTTCTTAGGTTGGTGGATAAAAGAAATTCTAGGACATGTGTTTGCATATTTGAAACAGTCTAGACTCCTACAAGGGGATATTTAATGTGATCAGAAGGGATATTAAGAGTTCTCAAAGTATATACTGTTAAGTATGTGCTGCACTTAACTAAAGAAGAGAGATGAACACTTTCAGGAAGGTTTTCAGTAAGTTTGCAGTCTTTTCAGCAATCTAGTTAAGAATAAAGGCAGATAAAATTAACCAGGATACAACTTCCAGAATGCTTAATTTACCGTTTTTGTTAGGGGAGGGAAGGGCTATTCCCTAGTACACTGTAGGTTTTTAAAGAAAACTTGCCCTGGTATCAATATGTTGGTAAAGAAAAGGTAAATATTTCATGATAAATGTTCCAGTGAAGGAGACGTAATAGGCTTCTTGCAGGTGTAAGTAAGGAGATTTAAGACATTTATTTCAGGCATGAATTATAGACCTTGAGCAAGCATGGAGTTAATCTCCAAAGGTGTGGATCTGACCGTGTGTAGGCAAATTTGTCTTACAGCAAAAGGCTATTCTATCCACCACTGTTCACAAGATTTAAAAAAAAAAAATGATATATTGATCCTCTACAAATGTTCTTATAATCTGAGTTATTGCTGCCATTTTACACATCTTACTAGGTGATCCATGGTAGTTTAGGCTCCCTGGAGAAGATTTTGAAGTGTAGTTGGAAAAGTAGTACTTCACCTTAATTAAGGCATATCCTTGAAAAGATCAAGGAAAGAAATCTGTTAGCCTAGTTCAGTGGTTTCTCAGCCTCTTAAGTGCATAAATCTATGCACATTATATGCTGTTTTCTATGGTATACTCATCCTTTTTTATTCCAAAAGTTTATAGCCTTCAATAAATATTAAATTATATAAGCTTTTTCACTTTAGAGTATTAGCTTATACAATGTAAAAAAAAAAGTATTAAGACAAAAACACCAAGTGATAGGTTTGCTTCCCCCACACACCAAATTTGATGCTTTGATAACCTTTTCTCAATTACAAAAAGAAAAGGCTTTGAATCTTGTGATCTCTTTTGATACAGAGAGTTCTAAAATACAGTTACTCGGATTACATACTGCATGGCAGTATTAGTTGTCTTAAGACTGGATTTCTATTAATCTCAACCAGGGACCCAGGAGCCAAAAAGACTTTGATCACCTAAAATAGTAGCCTTCCGTAAATCCCTATACAGTTGACCCTGGAACAACATGGGGGTTAGGGGTGCTGACCCCCCTGTGCTGTTGAAAATCCACATAGAACTTTTGACTCCCCCAAAACTTTACTAATAGCCTACTACTAACCAGAAGCCTTACTGATAACACTCAACATATACATATATAAATTATATACTGTATTTTTATAATGAAGCTGGAGAAAAGAATTATTAAAATCATAAGGACAAGAAAATACAGTACTGTACTGTATTAAAAAATCCATGTGTAAGTGTACCCTTGCAGTTCAACCTGTGTTGTTCAAGGTCAGCTGTGCTTGACTCAGTGGAAAAGGACCAGCATTCTAAGGCCCTTTCCTGAACATTCGACTCTTCCTATTTTTATTCTAGGCAAATGGTAGTGAGAAATGGTAGCTGATAGACTGGACATCAAGAAACAAGTGAATACAGAATAAGTAGATCACAAGAACTGAACTGCTTTGTATAAGGTATAAGGAGCTTTTGCCCATATAGATCTGTGTTGATCCTGATTACATCACAGTATCACAGAATAGTCTTATAAAAGAAGTTGTGCCTCTTCTAGGCCACTACCACCACTGAAAACAGGATAATAGAGGCTTCTTGTAAGATACGTGTGTACAGAAGTTGAATCTGCAAATTATTTAAAGGATAACCTTATTCTCTGATTATCTGCAAAATGTGTATACCATATATACATCATAGGATTGATAGAATTGAGATGTGAATGCCCAGTAAACTTTTCCTGTTTTTGCTTTCTTACATAGTTTTGAAGGAGGTCGAATTTCAGCATCTGAACCCCAGAGAAATAAGTTAGTCAAGTAACTTAACCCAAGTATAAAAAAAACTAATAATCCATTTGTGTATTTGTAATAATAAAGAAAAAAGCAAACCACAGCAGACTATTTTAAGGACAAGTCAAATCTTACTTTAGCTTAATGCTTCAAGTCTCAGTGACATTAAAAAGGTAAACACTATACAAATACATTTATACATGTTATTTATGGTAATGTTTTCTGTATGACTCAAAAGAGCTGAGATTGTCTTTTGGAAAAGACTTTAATTAGAAGTTGAGCCCCTTGCTATGCAACCACCACCTTACCTCTTCATGCATCTTCGGCTAAAAATCTCATTGCCTGTTGCATTTAGTATAAATACCTCCTTAATGTATCAAGTGGTTCTCAAATGTTATTTGGGTCAGAGTCTTTTGGATTGCCTGGTAGTTACTTGGAGCAGAGACACTATGGCCTCAACCAAGACCTACTGAATCAGAATTTGTAAGTGATGAGGCATAAGAAACTACTTACAGTTAAGTCTCTAGTGTTTTAGGGAGCAGCAAGGTTGGGAGATTCACTCAGTTGCTCAAACCCCTCATCTTCAGTTATTCCTTTTTCCTCACTCTTCATATGCAATCCATCAGCAACTTCACTGCCTTCATCCTGGTGAAAGTTATGCTAGATTACTACGGTCTCTTCTCCAGGACCACTAGTGTAAACTAACTGTCCTTCCCATCAGCTCTTTTGTCCTCAATTCAAGCTATTTTCCACCAGCTGCAAAAGCAGTGTTTTTAAAATGTAAATCATAAAGGTAAAACAATTAGATCTTTTTTTTTTTAAGATTTTATTTGACACAGAGAGCCAGAGAGACAAGTGGGGGAAACAGCAGAAGGAGAGGGAGAAGCAGACTCCCTACTGAGCAAGGAGCCCGATGCGGGGCTCAAAACCAGGACCCTGAGATCATAACCTGAGTTGAAGGCAGCCGCTTAACCGACTGAGCCACCCAGGCGCCCCAACAGTTAGATCATCTTTAAATGGGTTGAAACCAACTACATTAAAATTCACTAATTCATAATGATGGCTTAGAACACAATCCCCCCAAAATCACCTTGGTTACCTTTGGAGGATGCCAGGAAACCAGTTCCTTATTTTATATACACATCTCTTGACCTATAATGGGGTTGCATCCTGGTAATCCCCCCAACGCGGAGATCCTTGGATTTAGGAGTATTTTGAGAAGAGGCACCACAGCACCTGAAACATGGAGGCACTTAAATCTCCAGTAGTGCTTAGTGTACTTGACGATTATAGCAACTCCTCCACCAGTCCAAATAATTGTAGTTTATCTTCAGAAATCACTTATTTGATATTTTACAATTTTAGGTAAATCCTCAGGTTCTTCTTGAGCTCTTCTGTAGCCAGCCTCCAAGGTGGCCCTTAACCATTCTTGCCTCCAGGATTCCGTATCCCTGTGTATTCATTCACACCCATATTGAATAGGGCTGACTTGTGTAACCAGTAGGATATTGTGGAAATAAAGAAGGGCGACCTTGAAGGTTAGTTACGTCATAAAAGCCATTGTAGCTACTGCCCAATTAAACCTCTAAAATTTCTGGTCATGGTCTTCTTTCCTGGTTGGTTGGTTGGTTGGTTTCTTCCCCCCAATAGAAAGATTACTCACATTGGTTTTAAAAGGTCACTCTGGATCCTGCCCTTCACTGGCTTGCCATCCTCGCAACCTAGAGTCATCTATACATTTAATAAATATTCTTTACACTTAACATAATTTTAATTCATGGATAAAAACACTAGAAGTCACTGGTTCCAGTACTGATTCGAACAGTCCTGGAAAGATTATCAAGTATGTCCAGAGACTGACAATGAACCTATGATGATTTTAACATTATATTTTCTAAACTCTGAATATTCACTTGATACGGAGATATAATGTGAGAGATTAGATAAATTTGATCTCACTTTCCTCCATTGATCACATCCAACACTGTCACTGGAGAACACTAGATTGAAATATTTCTAGATATCTAAAAACCAATTCCAAGTGTCAAGTTTTACACTGGTTTTTAAAACACTGACAAATTCTACAAATTAGGAAAAACTGCCTAATACATTTTTTTTTCCAGGGGAGTGGGAATCCCTTAATTAGACAAGATATGGCAAGAAGTCTTTATTTTCATACAAGGTGCCACCGCAGGTAACCATCAGAGAGCACAAGCTGTTTACAGATATACAGAACTGAACAAAAGCATTTTAGCATGCTGCCTTACTGTACATAGAAAACTGGTGAACAATTTCAGACACTACAATTAGGAAATAAAATGGGTTAACACCATTTGTTGATAGGTTTATGAATCACTCAGCAGTGTTACAGGCTGTCTTCACCTGAAAGCAGAATTACAATCACTCTGGCAGTCTCTGGGCAATTCTAAATAAAATGCAGGTCTAGTGAAAGGTACAACGTGCAAGCGAGAGAGAGAGATACCTTGTCCCTTTCTGAAGGGAGACTGGTTTAGAGCCTGCATTGGCACATTCTTAGAGTCGATACAGCCATCTTAATTAGCTTGAGCTTCCCTTACCACCACATATGTTGGCCATCAGCAAAATTAAGAACTTCCAACACATGAACTGAATAATGAATAAGCCTAGGGTTAAAAAGCAGAATGCTGTCCACATAACAGAACTGCTACTTCACAACTTTTGCCCAGTTCTCCCCGTTGTCCTGAAAAATCCCCTCATCTGATGAATTCTAGCAAAGCTTCTAGCAACCGTAACAGACCTTTCCTAACCCAGATCTAGACACTAAGTATCTGAAACAAGGGCCTGTGAAGTGGATGTGTCCATGGGAAAATGGCAGTGTTTCTACTGGAGGTAAGTGTCAAGCTTCCTCTTGATGTTGTCAAAGGAATCTGCTCCCATGTAATCAGCCTGGCCCTGTTCCCACCGCTCCTTCCGTTCTTCTGAGGACACAAAAGGCTGTGCCGCAGCCGGGATCTCCCCAAGGGACAGATGTGATATGGCTCCTGAGACACCTTCCTAAAAAGGAGAGCATAATCAGAGACTCCTTGAGAGCTGAAAATCAGACTGTTTTAAGGAACGCAATAAGTTGAAGGTGAGAAAAGCCAGGATGAATTATCATGCAAAGTAGCAAAAACTGAAAAGTATTACATGAAACAAACAAACAAAAGACACAGAAATACAAGGGTCATATGATTTATTCCTAACGAAATGAAGACTTCTTGACTCAGTGAAAACATTGGGAGAACAAAGTAATTAGGGTTAATGTTTAAGTTCTGCATACCTTTCTACAGAAGCCACAAGAGAAAGCCAGTGTATAGACCAAGTCTGAAAGCTGCAAACAGTTCATTAGAAAGTGTAAGATGGACGGACAAGGGAACACAGTCTCACGATCAATTCTCGATCTGTGTGGGCTCTGAAAGGTTGAGAACTTAAACAAAATGATACTTCAGAGGCTAAACTTCAGAAAGCACCTAACCAGAGAGCCACACCACATACACAAGTTGTTACATTATAAAAGCGAGAGCTAAATGGTTTGAGACTATGCACGGAACTTATCTGCCCGTTCAAGCTTATTATCAAGGAGTATCTATTCTCGTAGCTCATGTTAATTGGCTTAGTCTTGAACAACTGTTTAAATTCCCATCACCTTTCCTTGGTTCATAATTCTAACTCCTTGGGTTGTGGAGGGAACAAGGGAAATGTGCAGGAAATAGAGCAAACCTACTCCACGTTAAGTTAGAATCTCATTACTTATGGAAAGGCCATTAACTTCAATTATACCATAAAAGAATATCAAAGCTATTCTTCAAAAAGCTCTGAGGTGAGAAGGTACTAGAAACAGAGAAAAAGGAAGGCGAGTGAATGCATACAGATATTGCTTTTAACAGAGAAAATGGGAGAACAAAATTTTTGATTACCGGTTTTTGTTGCTATATGACTATATGTGTCTATGCAGGTGTTTAAATATACTGGCACTCCAAGGTACCTGGGCAGATTCCATGGGGTGGTTTCACAGCTGAAGCAACGTAAGTCCTTACCCTGGATTAGCCCTGCCTTTGCTTCCACTTGCAACAGCAATGATACTGGGCTGTTCTTCCAGAATTCTCTGTTTCATGATACTGTTCAGAAGGTAACAGTCTTGCAGACTTAGATTTGAGTCCCAGTTCTGCTTTTGATGAGTATGTTATATAACTAAGAGAAGTTATTTAACTTCTTTAAGCCTCACTTATTTTTAATATATAAAAGGGCATATTAATAACACTTATTTGACAAAGTAGTTGTAAGGGTTACATAATAATAACTAGCTTTCCTTATGCACTTATTATGTGCCAGGCAATGTTCCGAGTACTGTACAAGTATTATTTCGTGGTCCATGTAAAGCAATTAAAGTAAGAATGTTAGTGTTATTTTTCCCTTTCTCCATTTTATATATTGGTACAAGTGCTACTAAGTGAAATGGCTAAAATCTCTACCATGGCAAAGAAAAGGATCTCTTACAACCTTATAGCCTCTTATAATTATAGCAAGGTAATTAACTGATCAGTTAGACTCGGTTGTAATTCACCCATTCAGTTTGATTCTTTATATCTTAATATGTAGCAGAGAAATGTAACTTCTCATCCTCTTTCCAATTCTTCTAAAAGAACCAATCTCAGAGGGAGACATTTAAAGTCAGAAAAGAGGCTAAGCAAGTTGCTGTTGTAAATGTTAATGTCATCTTCCTCTTACAAGGAGATTTCTTTTTTCAAGATTCTATATAACCGTAAGAGCATGTGCATGACAAACCAAAATAATCCTAGAAAAGTATCTGTTTTTGCAAGTGTTTGTTTTCACATGTTATTAAAATGTTCACTGAAAATACATTCTTCTAAGCAGATGGAAAAAATAAATATGTATATTTAAATGTTTATAGTTTCTAACACATGAAATAAGGCATTCTTTATACTTTAGGAATAACCTCAGAATCTTAGGACAATGGGCTAAGAATTCTATACATACTAGATATGGACATATATGTGTGTGCACTACACACACACACACACACACACACACACACACACCCTCTAAAGTCCTTTCTTATGCTCCCAGATCTAATGAAATCTGCCACAGAATCTACTGCTTTTAGTCTTTGCTGGCAGTATTCCTTTCCCTGTAAGATGGACATTTTTTTTTCTACAAATCTGATTGATCTCCGTTTAAAAGTACCACTAAACACTACCTCTACCAGTATACCAAAGTTTTAAAAAATACAGCATTAAATTACCTGAAAGAAAAAACAGAACCTACCACATTCAGGCATGAGTGGGTGTCTTCGACAAGGCCAAATTGTTGAAGCAGAGGTAACACGTTGGTGGTGAAGATGTCCCACCACAGGTTGAGAAACTCTGGATGAGTCATGGTGGGATCATGGGACTCACTTTTGACACTTTTTGTGTTAGGATCATAAGTATAATTCCAAGGTTTGATTTGTCCCAGGAAATGCACAACTTTGGCATTTGCCCCAAATCTGCCAAGAGAACACAAAGTTGAAACCATTAGTGGATTCTGAGCACTTTGTTCAGTAGTCTTAACGATGCACTTTCCACTGAAGTAGTGGTTGGAAAAGAACTTGAGCTAAGTTTTACACAGATTTTTGAAATTATTCAGTTGTATGTTAAATACATACAAAAATCCAAAAGTAGCAGTGGGTCAGGGCAACAACCAAAACACCAATCCACTGTGGTTGGAAAGGTACAACAACTTGGAAAACCATTTGGTATTACACCTAGTGACACTGAAAAATCTCACACCTCTGACCCGGAAGCTCAGCTCCTTGGCACAGACCCGAAAGAAGCTCTTACCCACGTGCAGATGTCATCAAAATATTCACAGCAGCAGTGCTGTTTGAAACAGTCATAACTACAAACCACTCATATGACCATATCTTAGTAGGTTAAGCCTGTTCAGCAAGTGTTCACTCCTTTTCCCAGTCTCCACAGGGGGAATACACTTTCCTACCTCACTGATAATTGGGCATGCTCACAGAACTTGCCTTTGCAAGGAAATATGGGAGGAAGTAACTGTGTCAGAAAGGAGGTAAAGAAAGAAGGGAAAGGAAGGAAGGAAGGAAGGAAGAAAAGAAAGGGAAAGAAAGAAAGAGAAAAAGAAAAAGGAAAGAAGAAAAAAATAAATAAAGAAAAGAAAAGAAAAGAAAAGAAAAGAAAGAAAGAAAGAAAGAAAGAAAGAAAAAGAAAGAAAAGAAAGGAAAGAAAGGAAAGAAAGGAAAGAAAGGAAAGAAAGGAAAGAAAGGAAAGAAAGGAAGGAAAGAAAGAAAGAAAGAAAGAAAAGAAAAACAAAGAAACAAAGAAAGAAACAAAGAAAGAAAGAGAAAGAAGGAAAGAAAGAAAAAGCAAGCCAGCCCTGCTTGTTTCTGGTCCCTCTCTCTGAGAGACCTCTGTCAGCAGAAGAATGGATGAGACCCATGGAGCAGATGTGGATCAAATCTGTGGCTCCAAACCCTGCTGAGATTATCAGAGCTGCTCCAGCCTAGCCACCAACATATGAGCAAGAAATATATACTTACTGTTGAATGTCACTGAAATTTTATGGTTATTTGTCCATTTTATTATTTTTAAAGGACAACTTCTGGTATATTCAGATCATGGAATACAATATAGGAGTGAAAATAAAATGATAGCTACACACATCATGCAGCAAATAGATGACTTTTTTAAACATGCTGAAAATTTTCAAATAGAAATTCATACATAAAGATCCATTTACATTGGGCAAAAACCAAAAAAAAAAGTACTATTTAAAGAGTAGAAAACTGGGGATGCCTGGGTGGTTCAGTGGGTTGGACATCTGCCTTTGGCTCAGGTCATGATCCCAGGGCCCTGGGATCAAGCCCCACATTGGGCTCCCTGCTCAGTGGGGAGTCTGCTTCTCCCTTTCTCTCCCTCTGCTCATGCTCATGCTCTAATAAATAAATAAAATCTTAAAAAAAAATGAAGAGTAGAAAACTGTAATCAATGTCAGTGTCATGATGTTGGTTATCTCCCGGGGAAAGGGGAAGCCGTGATGGGGAAGGGACAGACAGCTTGTAAGGTACTGGTTGTGTTCCATTTCTTAACTTGGATTTAAAAAAAAAACAACACCACATTTTTTATATATACCCCTTTGTATATATACTATATTTCATAATAATTTCTTAAAAAAAAAGAATTAAGAGTGGTCATTTTCTGGCTGGGAGGAAATCTATGTACATAAAAAACCAAATAATAAAGGTGAATACAACAAGTGCCAAAAGAAAGATGGAACAGTGGGTGCTCCAGAAATGCAGAGGCAGGGTGGTCATGAAAGGTAGGTTTCGTGGAGCAGAGACTTAAAGCTTGTGCAACAGACAGGAGCTGGGTAGCTGGTGATACAGAGAATTCTAGGCAGGGGGAGAGCAAGTATCAGGTGAGTGTATGTGAGTTAGACCGAGGGCACTCCCACTGCAGCCAAAGAGGAAACTGATAGGGAAAGGAAAAATGGGATGGTTCCTTGGGTGTTGGGTTCAAGTGTTAGATTTTAGTGGATTTATCCTATAGGCAACCAAAGTTGCTGAGCATGATGTGCAGACTGAAATAATGCAAACTCTACTCATGTAACCTTTCCAATCTTTTATTTTATTTATTTATTTATTTTTAAATGCCAGAGACCTATTACATAGCTATCATTATCTGAGGGTTTCCCATGTTTGGGGCCCAAACTTTTTTTTTTTTTTTAAGATTTTTTTTTTTTTTTTTATTTTTCAGAGAGAAAGAGCGAGTGAGAGCATGCACAAGCCGGGGGAGCGGGAGAGGGAGAGGGAGAAGCAGACTCCCCGCTGAGCAGGGAGCCCGATGCGGGGCTCGATTCCAGGACCCCGGGATCATGACCTGAGCCGAAGGCAGATGCTTAACCGCCTGAGCCACCCAGGCATCCTGGGCCCAAACTTTTTTAAGGACATGATTGGGAATAACAACACTCTGGCAAAGGTAGATCTTACTAACATGTTAATAGAGGCTCCTAGAGGTCAGGGGGTCAGCCAGAGCCATACAGCTATTAGGTGGCAGAAAAGGGATTTGGCACTGTTCTGCCTCTCTCTTAAGCCTGCACTCTTACCAATCCTACCATGCTGCCACTCCAAAACTATGAAAGAAAAATAGAGCCTACTGTAAATGTCCTCCTAAGAGTCATGGACTATACCACAGCGCCTTTCTTCTGAAAATGAGACAGATACCAGAAATCCCCAAGCTGACTCTTCATTTCATATTTTACACCCACACACATGCACACAAGTACTCTCAATTTTATCCTTAAAAGGATAATGCTCAAAACTTGTGCAGACATGGCTATTAATTAAATAAGCAACTGTTACATAGGGTCAGTGCAGGACTCCAAAAGGTTTTCCACCCAAACAGGGAAAGGAGTCCTCTAACATAAAAATAAGGAAGAGCAGCACAAACAAGGCAACGAGTCAGGGCTACCAGGGCAATGCGGACACGAGGGGCTACAGGAACACCAAAGCGATCCGTGCAGGCGTAGATTTTCAGAAGGGGCTTTGTGTGGGAAGGGGGCGCAGAGAAGACCTGGGAAAGATGGCGGGGTGAAGGTAACGGCCTTGGACAAACGTCCTAGTGGTGACGGGGGCGGGGAACCTGTCCCAGAGACCAGACACTTGTGTGTGTTTTGGGGGTGGCAGGCACTACCTCGCCTGCAATACAAACACGCCTGCGACCAGAAGAGAGCACTTGCTTTCACGTTCTCAGACATCCTCCTCCTGACTCATCTTGCTGGAGCAAGACTCCTAGTTTGCTCCTCCTAGAATAAAACTGGCCGCTAAGTTTCAGTCCATGATTTGGCCTAGACCTAATATGAATGTCCTAGTCATTATAGGAGAGGTAACAGTACTAATTAAAATAAAGTAAAACGTGAATATAGCATAAACTCTCTTCCTTTCTAACCTGCTTCCTGACAGTTTGCACATGATTAAACAGGAGTCACAGGAATAGCTAACATCTATTGAGTACTTACATGTACCAGACATTGGCTAACAATTGCATGGTTTATATACCAGTTAATCTCCAAAACAACTACGTGAGGAAACCAAGGCATGAAGTAGTTCAATAACTCGTCTAGGACCACATGGCTGGTGAGTGACAGGGCTGGGATTCCACGGAGGCAGTCTGGTTCCAGAGCCAAGGTTCTTAACCACAACTAGGCTGTTCCTGAAAGACACTCCCAGAATTAGGACATCATCTGAGAGTGACATCTGTTACTTCAGAGATGAATGCCCTGCCTACAGACGGTCAATCTGAAAAGTGGAAAGGATGTGTCTAAGGAGCCCTGGAAATACTCCAAATATAGTCAAGAACAGAGCAAGAAAGTAACCGATAGGAAAGAAAGCTACAAAACAAGCAACTTAGCACTGCCTAAGAAAGACTGTTCTCAGACGGGTTCAGTTTGCACAAAGGTAGGGGAAAGGTGGGAAGAAGAACAAGAAATGGATGGCGGTGCTTAGGACCAGCAGCTGACCCCTACGTGGACTGTGCTCAACCGTGTCTAAGGGCCACCCCAGCTCCTCTCCAGCACTCCACTCTGTGAATTGGGACTTTAAAGCCCGGGGAAGCAGAGGAAGGGCACGATGGTCCGGCACACTGCAGAGCCGCTAACACCGCCCAGCGAGACAGAGCGCCCTGCCTCTGCTGGCGGGCAGGAGTAGACACTCCTGCCTCTGGGTCTGGCTGTGCCCCACAGTGGCTCAGGGTTCTCTGCAACCTCCGGTTAGAGGCCACCCCATGTGGCTCAATGCCTTCCCCTCGCATGTCAACAGAAACACCATCTGGGGACAGTCTACCGCCTGCACTTCACTGTGGCTCAGGCCTGGGCTGCACCTTCGTGAAGCCACGATCCCTGAGTGTCTTTCTGTTGCCCTCTGTGGCTACAGGAAGGATCCTTCCTCCTCAAGATTACCTTCTTTACCTATTCCATTGTAACACCGAGAAAAACTGTATCCACTGGATAGTCCTTTCATAGACAGGGCAGTCCTAGTTTGAAGAAAGTCCTTGATGAGCCTGTTTGTGGCAGAAACGGAGATCATAAGGGGTCCTAAATGTGGATGAAACTGCCCTTTGTGCCTGAAGTTGAGGAATTCCTTGGTGCCAGTAATGGGGAGGGTTGAGAGTGAGCGGGATTGTGGAGATGTGATGTAACCACCCAACAGCTACCCAAGTTTCAGCAAAAACAAAACAAATCATAAAATGCATAATGTAACTAGGTTTCTATTGCAGCTAGGGCTACCGAGGGGCCAACCAGAAAGAGCTCATGAGGATTCAGGAGTGTGATGGCGGAGAGAAGAAGAAAGATGCTGGGGCATACAGTAGTCATGTGCAGACTTCAGAGGTCATGGGTTCAAGGCCATGGTTAGCCCTACTTCTGTACAGTCAAGAATGGGAACTTTTTTTTTTTTTTTTTAGGTATCAAGGTATTCCTTTAACCTGC